AAACAGCTGATAAATACATCACAATAATCCACAAGTAATCCACACCACTCCAGTCCATCAGTTAACATCGTGAGAGGTGAAAAGCTGCATTTTTGTAAAAAAACAAATTCATCACCAATGGATTTTTTCTTTGCTTCACAAGACATTAACTGATGGACTGGAGTGGTGTGGATTATTGTGATGTTTTTATCAGCTGTTTGGACTCTCATTCTGACGGCACCCATTCACTGCAGATGATCCACTGGTGAGCAAATGATGCAATGCTACATTTCTCCTGATCTGTTCAGATGAAGAAATCTACATCTTGGGTGGCATGAGGGTGAACTATCTCTTTAAAATAACTTCTTAGTATTTGGTTTATCTTTTGCTCTCAATACAGTAGCACTCAAGCTGACAGCTGACAACAAAACATTTACTTTCAGGTCTAAAAAAAAAAAAAAAAAATTGTGATCCTGTATATGTTTTTTTGTTTGCAATGTGCTCTGTTTTCATGAGAACTGCATATTGAAAACAGGACGATGTCGACTGAGCTCTTCAAACACCTCTAGATTCAGAGCATTGCTCCTGTCTTTTTCCGAACAGTCAGCACGATTACAGTGACTGAATGCAATTATCATTTCATTTCCTCTACTGCTGTCACATGTGGAGACAGAGATCTATTCCGTTTCTATTCATATATGTGAACCTGTGATTCATGCTTTTTGTGAGCTAGTGTAAAAAGTGAGATACTAATGAAAAATTGAAAATCACATTCATATTGGGTCCGTGTTGCTCCAAACCTATGCTGTTATTTTTGCAGTGCAACATAAAATGAGAATTATTGAAGAATATTCACAGAGCTCTTTTACAACGACAGTTCAACCTTGTTTGTAAAACTTTATATTTTATTATCAAATGCATTAAAATTTTAGCAAATAATTTTGGGGCTATTGGATACAGTTCTCATATGTCTATGTAATATTTTACGCCTCAATCAATCAATTAACTAAAGAAAATAATAAAAAAAATAAAGAGAGAAGTCGTAAAAAAAAAAAAAAAAAAAATTAAACTGAATAAAATTTCTTCTGTCTTTCTTTTCAATTTGGTTTGTAATATAAGACACGGACACGGTCTTGCACAGGTGTCATGAGAAGAGACTCATAAACGGTTAGAAATATAACCTACTTGTACTTTTAGTGAGCCATCATTAGGGATCATCACCGACCACACTGCAAGACTCGTTCAAAAGTGAATTACCTGTGAGGTGTGAAGCTGCATGTCAGCTCCAAGGAAACGATCTGCACTGCACATTTCATACAGTTACTGGCACGCCACTTGCCTGGATAAAAACGCCTTTATTGGCGTCTATCTGAAACACTTTGCCAAGTGCAGCGCGCTCAAACACCGGCCATAAGGTCGTGCTGCCAACCTCAATAGTAGCGCGCGCTCGCTCTGCCATAGGCTTACATGACAACACTTAAATCGGCTGGCGTGCCATCTGTCGTGAAACGGAACCAATATTTCAGGTTTTTTAAACTTGAGCTCCCGAATGAAGCGGTAAGAAGGGATGCAGCGCTGTGAATGAGAGAGAATAATGTGGGAGTAACTCAGGGATGTTTTGGACGCATCGCGTGCCAGGACTGAAGGTTTGATGCCCATCCACAGGCTCGTGTTTTGATGAGTTTGGAGGCGATCGCTCCTGCGTGAATCATTTACCGCAAAGATAACCGGCTGGATTATCGACGAGCAATATGCGGTTGTTGGTTGGTTTTGTTTTGTCAACTTTTTGGCTATGGGAAGCGTCGCTTTCCCGCGTTTACACCAATCACTGGGCTGTTCGGATCCCTGGAGGACCAGCAGAAGCTGATAAACTCGCCTCAAAATATGGCTTTACTAATTTGGGTCAGGTAAGCATATTTTTTCTGTTTTCAATTTATTTTCCTGGTCACTATATATGCGCATTTAACGCATATATCAGTTACATGTCCATTAGAATACAGCATCACTGGCATGAGACTATTATAAAAAACGTCTCCGGTTACTACCTCGGTTCCCTGAGAGCGGGAACGAGACATCACGGAGACATTTCTCCGTTATGGGAACTCCTTCCTTTCCAACCTTTCCTGAAGTCCTATTGGCTCACGCCAGTCCAAATGACTGGCCAATTGTTGGGAAGTATGCAAATCGCATGCAAATACTGACGTGCTCGAGAGGCAGTATAAAATGCGGTGCACGCGACAATTATGTCAGAATCTGATACTGAATGCCGCTTACGCCCCATTCACACCGGGCGTCGGCGTCAACGCCTCTCGTTTACTTTGAATGGAGTGACGTCAAGCGTTGCCGAAATGAATTGTGGGTCCGTCGCGTTGGGTCCGTTGCTCGCGGCAGAAGTTGAAAACTTTTCAACTTTTCAAGCGCCAACACAGGCGTCAGCCAATCAGATCGCCTTATGCAAATGCCCTGGTGCAGATGCTAGCCAATCGCGTTCATGCAACACCAGAAAACTAATGTGATTGGCTGTTGTCACTATGATGGTCGGGTCAACACCAAGCTTCAGAAACACTCTCCATCAAGCGTCGACACTGATGCCCCGTGTGAATGTACCGTTAGCTGGTCGAGCAGCGAACACGGCAACCTCCGTGATGTCTCGTTCCCGCTCTCGGAACCGAGGTTACGATAGTAACCGGAGACATTCCCTCTCGAGCTTTCACAAGACATCACGGAGACATTTCTCCGTTATGGGAACCAGCCTGTACAAGTCACATACTCAGCGAAGATAGAACACACAATTCACACAACCAATAGTGACGCTTGTTAGGCGGGCTCGCAGCTGATAGGTGGAGACAAGCCGATGAAAAAGCCCTGTTATACGAAATTTGCATATCTGGTCAGTAATAACGTATGCTGCGCTGAGAAACAGGGCAGAAGCAACATCAATCACAGTATTGTGAGGGGGGGGGCTGCACAGAAATAACGGTGTTAAGCAGCAGTATAACACATAAGATGATGATGGTACACCAATCGAATTAGACATTGAATAGCAGGAGCTGCACTGAGTACAGGGCAGACAACAGCAACAATAGCATATAGGGCTGCGCAGAGTAATTACTGTGCGAGGCAGCAAACACACATGAATAGAGGTAGCATAAATGTGAAACAGTCACTCACCGACAGCACTTGGGAGGCTACGGACTGAGTGTCCAGCTTGTAAAATCTGGCGAAGGTATTCTGAGAAGACCAGCCGTCTGCAAAGCATATATCCTGAATAGACATACCTCTCGACCACGACCAGGAGGAGGCGATAGCTCTTGTTGAGTGGGCCCTAATGTGCAAAGGACATTCCAAACCTTGGCTTGTATAACAGCCGTGTTAGCGTCCACAATCCAGTGGCAAAAGCCTCCTTTTTGACACGGCCCGGCCCTTCGCACAACCACCGTAGCACACGAAAAGCTGGTCAGATTGCCGAAAGCTGGCCGAACGGTCAATGAAAATCCTCAAAGCCCTGACGGGGCACACCGAAATCTGAGCGTCCGCATCACGCGAGGTCGGTGACTCAGAAGACAGGGCAGACAGCGAAACAGTCTGCGCTCTGAAGGGGGTAGATAGTGATTTAGGCACGTAGCCCCGTCTCGGCCGAAGAGTGACGCTGCAGTCACCGGGTCCGAAGCGAATACAATCGCTGTCCACAGAAAACGCATGTAAATCCCCTATGCGCTTAGCCGAAGCGAGGGCAAGAAGAAGTGCAGTTTGAGAGATAGCTCCTTCATAGCAATGGAT